ATATATATATATATATATATATATATATATATATAGACTTGTATATAAAAGTTCTATAAGATATAATTTAACATGCAAGGCACACACACATACATACTCTTTCTTTTCCGAAATCAATTCAGCATTATTAAACGAAATAAAAATCCATTTAAATATATATCTCACTTTGCTTATGAGTAATTAAATTTAAAAGTTGTTTTATATATTTACGCGCGCGCTCGTCATTCTCATATGAGATAAACATGTAAAGTAAAAGAAATATCAAAAATCGCGAACCTTTTTTTACGCATTCAATTTATTTGGAGAATGTCGATCTGTGACTCAAAATTAAAATCTTATATTTCCGAAAGAATAGTAGTTACTAGATTATATATTTTGTATTACATATTTTAGAAATGATAGAAGAATTATGTATATACATATAAATTTTCAGAAAGAGTTTTGCAACAGTGTAATTGGAATTATTGCACTTACGGATTATAATAATAACACATATCGTATCGAAGATGTTGATTTTGACACAAGCCCTTCCTCAACATTTTCTATGAAGTCTGGTGAAAGTATATCTTATCAAGAGTATTACAAGAGGAAATACGGTATTAGGATAACAAATGCCACACAACCAATGTTGGTGACAAGAACAAAACCAAAGGCAAGAAATGCTGGTCAAGGAGATTTGGTTTATCTAGTTCCTGAATTGTGCCGTGCTACAGGTATGTTATGTGAATATTTTGTGACACTTTTATTAATGCATAATTTTTTTTTTATTTATCAAATAAACATTATTTATGTGACATTTTTATGTTTAGATATATGTACAGGGTGTTCTAGAGTTTACCCGACAAACTGCGGGAGCATATTCTACAAAAGGAAATAACAAAAAAAATATATGAAGTTTGGCTATAGAGAGAAATGCTTTATTACAAAGTTATAAGCAAATATTGAAATGGAACATGAAATAGGTGACTACGGATTTTCCATTGTGCAGAATATGAAAGGTCAAACGTGTTTATCTTATCTGTGTATTTATATCATGTTTACTATCTTCAATAGCTGTTAGATTTCAATCGTATGAACTACCATCAAAATGCCAAGAGGTTGGAATGAGGAATACATTGATATACACTGATTCTGCATAATGAAAAATCCGTTGTTATTTATTTCATGTTCTATGCCAATATTTGCTTATAATTTTATAATAAAGCATTTCTAGCCAACCTCCATATATTTTTTTCTTATTTTTACTTGTAGAATATTCTCTTAGTTTGTCGCAATTAAACCCTGGGACACCCTATATATATAATAGAATTTATATATAATAAATATATATAAATTCTTCTTTGTGCACCAATGCAATTGGTTATGTTATAGGTCTAACTGATAATATGAGGGAAAATTTTCATCTTATGAAAGCATTAGCTACGCATACTCGTGTTTCACCTGTATCTCGGATTGATAAATTGATGAGATTTAACGAAAGACTTCGTCAAGAGACAAAAGTTTTAGAAGAACTTAAAGACTGGAATATGAAATTAGATAGAAATTTACTTGAAGTTCCTGCTCGTATATTACCTTGCGAAAAACTTGTATTTGCTAATAATAATATGATTACCTGTATGGGAGGAGATTGGACGAGACAAATGCAAAAAGCACGTTTAGTCCACTCTGTCCATTTGAGAAACTGGGTATTAATTGGAAACTATCGAGATCAGGAGACTATACGGGTGAATAGACACTTTTATTAATGCATAATTTTTTTTTTATTTATCAAATAAACATTATTTATGTGACATTTTTATGTTTAGATATATGTACAGGGTGTTCTAGAGTTTACCCGACAAACTGCGGGAGCATATTCTACAAAAGGAAATAACAAAAAAAATATATGAAGTTTGGCTATAGAGAGAAATGCTTTATTACAAAGTTATAAGCAAATATTGAAATGGAACATGAAATAGGTGACTACGGATTTTCCATTGTGCAGAATATGAAAGGTCAAACGTGTTTATCTTATCTGTGTATTTATATCATGTTTACTATCTTCAATAGCTGTTAGATTTCAATCGTATGAACTACCATCAAAATGCCAAGAGGTTGGAATGAGGAATACATTGATATACACTGATTCTGCATAATGAAAAATCCGTTGTTATTTATTTCATGTTCTATGCCAATATTTGCTTATAATTTTATAATAAAGCATTTCTAGCCAACCTCCATATATTTTTTTCTTATTTTTACTTGTAGAATATTCTCTTAGTTTGTCGCAATTAAACCCTGGGACACCCTATATATATAATAGAATTTATATATAATAAATATATATAAATTCTTCTTTGTGCACCAATGCAATTGGTTATGTTATAGGTCTAACTGATAATATGAGGGAAAATTTTCATCTTATGAAAGCATTAGCTACGCATACTCGTGTTTCACCTGTATCTCGGATTGATAAATTGATGAGATTTAACGAAAGACTTCGTCAAGAGACAAAAGTTTTAGAAGAACTTAAAGACTGGAATATGAAATTAGATAGAAATTTACTTGAAGTTCCTGCTCGTATATTACCTTGCGAAAAACTTGTATTTGCTAATAATAATATGATTACCTGTATGGGAGGAGATTGGACGAGACAAATGCAAAAAGCACGTTTAGTCCACTCTGTCCATTTGAGAAACTGGGTATTAATTGGAAACTATCGAGATCAGGAGACTATACGGGTGAATAATTTGTAATTAATCGGAACTAAATTATATATATAAATATAAAGGATAATGTAAGATGAAATAAATTGTATATTTATATTTTTTTATGTAAATTATCTTTATCTTGTTGATCTAATTTTGCAGTATTTTATGAACAAGCTAAGTGGAGTATCATATGGAATATCGTTTCGAATTGAACGTCCACAGGAACATTGGTTGCGCGATGATAAGGCGAGTGTATATGCCGAAAATCTCGAATATATTCTTAGCAAGAATACCCCGGATTTAGTATTGTGCGTAGTGAGCAACAATCGCAGTGATCGTTATGCAGCAATTAAGAAGAAGTGTTGTGTAGACAGACCCGTACCATCGCAGGTTATTTTACAAAAAAACTTAGACGGAAGAAACATCATGACTATCGCTACGAAAGTAGCAATACAGATGAACTGTAAATTGGGTGGTGCAGCTTGGCATATTGAATGCCCGTTAAAAGGATTAATGACAATTGGTTTTGATATATGTCATGATTCGAACACTAAGGGCAGAGATTTTCGTAAGTATCATTTAAATATCGTTTTGAGAGACATTGTGCTATTTTAATATTCGGTGATAATAACTCTGTATAATATTTGTTATATTCTTTACTGTCCAAATTCTCCTATATCTTTTTTTTTTTTTTTGCATATTGTTTTATATATAATTATGAATTAAATATAAACAAATTAAATTTTGCATATTGATTTATATGATTACAGTGGCTATGGTGGCAACTGTCGATCAAACGCTGACGCGATACTATAGCTCTATTAGTTTATATCACAGCAGCGAGGAGCTTGTAGAGCAACTCTGTACAAGTGTATGCAAAGCTGTGCAAGCTTATCGCGCTCAAAATAAGGCTTTACCCATGTATCTTGTAATTTATCGCGATGGCGTCAGTGACGGTCAAATACCGCATGTTTATGAGAATGAAGTAGAAAGTCTGAAAAAGAAACTTGAAGAAGTGTACTATGGTCCGAATTTCAAGATGATATTTATAATTGTGTCTAAACGAGTTAACATTCGACTTTTCCATAACAGAAACAATCCTCTGATCGGTACAGTCGTTGACGATGTTATAACCAGTCCATTTAAATACGATTTCTTTCTTGTATCGCAAAGTGTTAGACAAGGCACAGTTTCGCCAACCTCGTACAACATTGTTTCGGATAATACCGGTTTAGACGCAGAAATGATACAAAACTTAACTTACAAATTAACTCACATGTATTACAATTGCTCAAGCACCGTTCGTGTACCGGCACCTTGTCATTATGCACAAAAGCTATCGTTCTTAGTAGGACGAGTTCTTCACCGGCCTCCAAATACCCAGCTGGAAAATAAGCTGTATTTCTTGTGATATAACAAATATCTCTTTACGATAGTTTTATTCGGTACATTATTTTAAATTAAGAAGATTGTTAATTGTTTTCATGATTTTATTTGTTTATGTCCTAAAATGGCTTGATGTGCATTATTACTAGATTATAAAAGATTTTCTGTGTAACTTATTACATATGATGCGAAAAATTCCATTCCATATAAATATTTAAATTTTTAATATAATAACCAAGTATAGAGCGACTTTTTTTTTTGTGAGCTCACAGTTAAACAGTATTATATTATGATAGATTGATACACAGGGATTATAATGACTGATATGTTTGAATAGTTTTGAACAGATTTTCAATTACTTTATTTAAAGTATATAATTTTATTTATTACACATCATATATTTTTCTTCTAAAAGCATACCATGTATTTTTAAAATACACGGTCATATATAAGAACATATAGATGCGTTACCATTAATACATATAATATATGGCTATAAAAAAGTAGTCAAACAATTGACATTATTTCATGTGCTGTGTTCCGATTCCTCATTCGGGTGCATCCGGGTGGGGAATCGGAACACAGCCACGGTTTAGAGAAATACAATAAATATAAATCAAATTACTTAATCTAAATATAATCTAAAGGTGCCATTTATCCTAGTTTTATACAATCAAATGATTATTCTATATTCAAGATATAAGATTATTGATATCTGTACTTCGGATTTACTAACTTACTATAATTACTTTGATAATTCACCTATTTTATGTGGTACTTATAATGATACTGTTTTTATAATATCCATTTCGTTGCTAATTGATATATGTGAGCTGAATAGATATTTTATTATTTTAATACATGTAAAGTACATCTTATTTATATATTGTACAGTGCAGTGTATACATGTTCATGTATGATCAACTATAGGAATGCGCATATGTGAGTCTGAAGAAAATATGAAACAATGCAATTAGTTTCTATCATTCTTTTTAGGCTTGTATAAGTTGGAATCTAAATTACATATAGTGTTCTATAAAAATATATTCAGATTTTTGATAAATATGCTGCATAATTTATAATTTTCTGCATTTCTGCCTATATTCAATCTACTTGCAATATTCACAACGACCTGTCATTGACAGATCTTGACAGATATCCGTACAATTATGCGCGTTGTCTTGCCGTTTCGATTATGTTTAACGTGAATATATCTTTTGTTCTCAATAAGGATGAAATATAAATAAGATTACATAAAATTACAACACAAAGATAGAAGCAAAATCATATGGATACAATCATGGAACTTGAAGAGTTCGCGAGCCTTCAATTAGATAAACCGTTACCCGATGTGAGGGTATGTAATATCATGGTTTATCAATGGTTTTTTAACATTAACATTCACGTCTTTATTATTTATACACGTATGAATTTTGTTAGAAGAAATCTTTATTATTAGCCATTTAAAAACTTTCTCCTCGGATATTAATGTTAATGAACATTCAGGAATTCAATTTCACACTTCATCAATTTTATTCAAACATCCTTGTATAGAATGAAGAACAGCTGCGAAAGCACTCCTTGGATGCTAACTTAGAAAGGAGACCTATAGACAGAGCACTCCATATTCTTTTGTAAGTTTTGATTTATACGATATTGTTTCACTTCGTTTTATCATTATCAATATTTTTTATTATAAATATAATTATTTTTATTGTTTATTAGATACTTTTCATGTCCTATACAATTTTTCTGTATGTGTGTATGTGTTATGATTTTATATTTTTTAGAAGTCTAAAACTTTTATAATTGCGCGATACACACGAACTCCAATCCTATAAGTCTATTATAAAATTTTATCCTTGAGCTTGTACGCGCGAGAGCGATTCACGCATATACATCACTTGTTAAACCTTGATCGGAAATACACGTAATTCGCTTCCGATTACCGAATCAAGGTCGGCAACGCATTAATTAAGTCTTGCGAACTTGAGCTCGATTTCAGAATAGAAGATATTTCTCCAATGTAATGATGCGAGAATTCACGATCTCTGATATAATTATATCTGTATAAAAGAAATAATCCAAATTTTTAGTTTAAATTTTTATAGATATTTAATTTTATGTGTACCGCACAATTTTAACATTCCATTACACATATATATACACGATTGTAGATGAGCTTCCTTAAAAATATTTATTATTCATAATAAGAAGCTATTCTAAAATAAAATAAGATTGTACAGCAGAAATAACTTTGTCAAAATTATTAATGAAGTTTTTAGAAGCTAGTTTCTAAAACTAAGAAACTATTTCTAGTATTTAACAAGATAAAATCGATTTTTCAATCGCAATTCTCGAAATTAAACTTTGAATGAGAATTTTAATTAATATGTTCCTTCTCTCTTTAGATATACATTATAATTATATACGCATATTTCAACGTATATTCGAATACTTTTTTTACATGTTAAAGTATTCGAAAATCGCGTTTTGCTAATCGAAGCATTCTCGGACAGATTTTCGGAAAGTGTGATTGTGAATAATCCGCTTGTGCCGATGGATCTTTTTTTCCCGATGCGTCGTACCAGCGCATCGGATTGCAGGATGACGCGATCGTTAAATCATCTTTTGTGTCGCACACCGGGAATTACGCAACGACGACGCCCTCGGCGTATTATACATACATAGAACATACATCACATACATGTATTTACGTCGCGCGATGCATCACGACGTATCTTTTCAACACCCAGTACGTGGGCCGCGTTCGTGTCGACTCGGCATGATTCGGGCGCGTTCGTGTGACATCGACGGCAAATCAGATACAATCGATAGCGTGGAAATCGCGGACGGAGAGAGAGGCAGAGAGGCAGAGGCTGCCTCACTTCGTTCACTCGCGTCCAGCTGGTCTAGCTGTCAGTCGTATTCTCGTACGTCGTGTCGCGTTCCTCGCGTGTCATGGGAGCGCGTGTAGTGTCTGCGTAGAGGAAACCTACCACAATTGATCGATTCTCTCCGCGCGTACGCTGGCTGCGACATCGATGAATAAGATGCGCCTCGAAAATGTTGCAAGATGAAGATGAAGCCCTGTACGAGATCGCGTCCGATCCGTAAGTAGTAATCGGCGGTAGTATATGATGCGGTCTTTCTGTCGCAACGAAAGCCTTATACGCGTAATCAATCGTAGGTTCATCCTTATTGTTAGTCGTGTTTGTCATCCTTATCTCATGTTCCATGCGCGCGCGCGCGCACTCGTACACTTCTAAAAATAACGCGCGTTTAAGGAACGTGCTGTCCTGTCATAGTAAAGCGCGCTAATTATAGTCCTTTAAAGAGATGACTAAGGGAACGAGGCATTTCCCTGTGCGAGTATCGTAACATGCCAGGATTGTAAGAGGTTTACAGACCCCGAGATTTTTAGGTTAACCGATCGCTTTTCGCGAAACTATTTCGTTTTTTAAATGTGTCTATACTTTGCAATATATAACAAGTTTAATAGTGTATTAATACTTTAATATACTTACAAAAATAGAAAATATACTAGATAATTAATAAATTAATGAAAATATAATATAGATGATACTTAAGAATAAAATATAATAAATACTATAGTATCGATAACTTATATTAACTCTCACTTCTAAGCAAAATTGAATTCACATTGAATCACATTTCTTAAAACTTTCGATATCTCATATAAATATTTGCTTGGTGTTATAAAATGTAAACTTATCTGTTATAAGCTTTAATCTCTTTTTTACATGTGTAGAAAATACAATTTGTGAGACTCTGTTGCTTTCATCTTTCTCTCTACAAAACCAAAGTATATCTTATTTTTTAAAAGTGAAAAAATCCAGAACCAGGAAACAACATATCTATGATCATTACATCATTACTATGATATTACTACTGTATATTTAAGGGAATAGCATGTTTCATATAATTTACATATAATTTCTCATTTAAATTGAAAACAAGTGAAATATTGCAAAAACTATCTTTTATTATCTTGATTTATATTTTTTGAGAAAATATGGAAATTTTTTCAGGAAGGGAGAAGAGATCCAAAAACTTAGTGTTATACAAAGTCTACCAAGTCTTTTAGCTACCGACACGCAATCATGTATGTCTCGAGTGGTACCTAAAATGCAGCAGTCTCTGGCTACTGCATCAACTGAATTTCACATAGCAGCATCATCTACGTTTAAAACAATTTTAGAGCAAAAGCTTGTCAGTCATAATGTTTTCAGTCAGACATTCCTTCAAAGTATATTAAATTCTCTGGAGAGTCGTGATCCAGGTAAACATATGTCTAATTATTAATTAACTAAAGTATATAGCAATAATTGTTATTTTATAGAATGCAAAATTTTACAGTTAAAAATATTAAATATTATTTTTGTATTTCCATTTTATTCTAATTCGCTTTGATTTTATGTGTCAATGTTAAAGTTATCTGTCACGCATGGTTGGAGACCTTACTGGATGTGATAGAGTTACTGCCGGTAGAAGTTGTAAGAGCACAGGTTTGTAAAGGCAATATTTAGAAATCGACATATTTAATATTTTATTACATTTAAATAGATGAGGAAAGACATATATGTTTTCAATTTATTTAATGTATATAAAATATACTTATGTCAGCAAACAATTTTATTTAAAAAATAATGCATAAAAAAGTAAAATAAAATACAATTATGCAAATAGTTTTCAAATAGAGAATTAAGAAGAAAGCACTGTAATTTAATTGTTGAAACATTAAATCATTATTTAAATATAATAAAATAGCTCCCATTTTTTTGGATGGATGATAACAAGAATACTCTCTTATAGATTCTTCCATTGACTATAAGTAAAGGACAGTTGTCACAACCTATCTACTCCAGGATAACATGCAGCAGATTATTGGGAAAGATTTGTACACGATTTGATTCTGCTATGTGAGTATATTTATTTATTTATATGTTTGAATATAACTAACTTTCATAATTGTAGCATGTATAATAAATTGATATAAAAAAATTGATACAAAATTTTTAAATAAAATATATTTGTAAGATTATTTTCTACAGTATCTACATAAATGTATATATCAGTTATTCAAATGTTATTAGTGGAGTTAATTTAAATCATATTTATCAAGTAGTTGCCTATTATTACATTCTTGTACATTATAAAAAAAGTACTAACTAAAGATTTACGTTTCATTGTTTAAATAATTTATTGCTTATTTTTTCTATTTGATAAATAAGCGCGCACCCCATTTCTTAACCATTAAAATTGTTGTCAGGATACAAAAGGAAGTTCTACCAACGGTACACTCTCTCTGTCAGGATGTAAATAGTGACGTGCGCGCTAATATTTGTTTGCAATTACGTTTCGTTGCGGAGGGCCTTGGTGCTGAGTCTGTGAAACCTGCTTTACTACCGTCTTTAGTAGAATTAGCAAGTGACGAAGAAAGCAATGTAAGATATGCCTCTGTACAGACAATAGTGTATTTACTACCTCATCTTCAGGAAGGTGAGTTTTGTAAACAATATTTTAAAGAACTATTTCAAATTTTAAAGAATAAATTACATGAAAGGGAGAAATATCCCTTGACACAGTAAACAACAAAAATTAACTGAAAAACAAATTGTCTATAGATACAATAAAAAATATAATAGCACCACTTGTTAAAAAACTATGTGAAAATGCAGCTAAATCAGAAGATAATGTGATATGCATAATAGCTCAAGAGTTGGGAAAGCTTGTACTTGGCCTAGAAAGTAAGAGAAATCATTTTTGCATTTATGCGGCACGCAGTGCGTGTTTAAATAATAATATTCAAGCAGAATTTAAGTGATATCTACTTAAATATAATCGAAATAATAATTTTAGAATGCTTGTCAACATCAGAGAAAACATGGTTCTTAAAGTATTTTCAACAACTTGCACAGATGGGAATACCATCATTGAAGAAAGAGAAACTGCAATTTACATTTGTGAGCATATATATATTGTATAAATCATACATGGAATTCTCATTAAATAAATTTTTTATATATAACACATAGTTACTTTAGATAATAGTGTATTGTATAGTAAATAGTTAGTATAGGCATATACTTGTATTGTGCAAATATATATAAATCATAAATAAACCTATTATGTAAATTGATTCCAAAAAGTATTGACATATTATTCTTTGATTGTAACATATTCATATTTTATCTAAATTTTGTAGATTAGTAGCAATCCTACACAAGATGAAAGATACGTTGAATGCAGAAGACATTGTGCATTTAATTTGCCTGCAATGTTTATTTTTATATCAAACTCTTCAGAAGATGTAAATGCGTTACTTACGACATTTGATGCATTGACAAGTGATCATTATTATATGGTTCGGAGAACTGTTGCTTGTGGAATTCACGAAGTAAGATTAAGTATGTTATGCTCATTAGATTATCATAGCAATATTGTATATATACAGTAATAATTTGTAGGTGACGAAGGTTTTAGGATCAAAGAGTGCACGGATAAGGGGAAATTTAATAAAATTATTGAAAGATGATTCGGAGGAAGTGCTTCAAGGGTTAATTCCTCATATAGGATTAACATTAGAAAGTTTAGCTGAAAATCAAACTGTTGGAACAGATAGAGTGGTAATTAAATTTTATAACAGTTTGCAATTCAAGATAATTTGTTTATTGTTATCTTAAATTATTGTTTTATCTATTATAGGATTCTACTCTGATGGAAATAGGTAAAGCCTTATTGAAGTGTGAGGCCAAAGTCGCGGGTACATACAATTGGAGATTGGCGTCGTTGATGCATGCGCAGTTAGAGATTTTACCTAAATGTTTTCCCAGTGATTTTATATACTCGTATTTCGTGCCAATGGCTTTCTCCAGAATTTTGCATGCAGTGAGTCCATAACATTTTGTTCTTACTTAAAACATTATAGATTTAATGAACAGTTTTAATTCCAAAATTTTAGCGACCGATACCGGTACGTCTTGCCGCAGGAACACTTTTTCTTGTCCTTCTACGATACAACATGAAACCTATACAAAGAGCGGAACTGCGTAATAGAATCTTTACGGATATAGCCAATAATCCTGATTGTTATGTGAGAATGATGTTTGTCCGTATGATGATCGAAGCGTTGGAAATCTTTTCTTCCGTTTATTTTAAGGAACACTTTTTCAATGTCTTATTGAGTCTGGCCGAAGATCCAGTAGCTAATATAAGAATGAAAGTAGTATCTTTACTGCCACAACTAAAGAATCAGCTGTGGATACCAACCGATAAGAAATTATTGACATCATTAGAGTCGATTGTGAGACATTTGGTTAATAATGAAAAGGATAAAGATGTGCTATTTATTTTAAAAAGTGTCACGCAAAAATTAGACGAAATGGATGTCAAATATGAAGGCCAGACTGTAAGTAATTTAGCAAATGTGCAAATCATATATATATATATA